GCAACCTCCTGTGAAATTACAACCTCTGAAATCTGTTAAAAGTATCAGCTATGAGCTGGTTCTGTTTAGGGGACAAGGAGGTGAGTTAACAGAACAATATATATTAACAATTACATGCTAAAAATAACTCATGAAGTACATAAGAATTAAGAAACTTCAAATAACACAAATAATTTGCCTCTTTATACTGACACCTAGCTATTATATGCACTCAAAATACAAGTGTTTATAAAGTTTGTTGTGAAATGACAACAATGATAATGATGATAACAATTAAGATTTGCTGAACATTTAACTTACCATTTAATACTTAACAACTAATCCCTAATAGGGAGTTTTGGTGGGTGGCCTATGAGTTAGGGATTATATAGCTCATCCAAAGGCAAATGGTTTAACTCCACTAGCTTCTCCCTGGGAGAAAGATGGACAGTCTCCTCTCATGAGATTTACTGCTTCTGAAAACCTGCTGGAGGGTCAGCTATGGGTCGGTACTGACTAACTAGTACACAGTAACAACACAGAACAACAATTCCTAATTATTATTCCCTATTTTAATGAAGCTTAAAGATGTTAGAGGAGCCCTGATGGCATAATAAGCATAGAATTGTTAGCATAGAATTGCTAACTCAAAAGCTGGCAGTTCAAATCCACTGGCCACTAAACAGTAGAAAGATGGGCTGTCCACCTCTCCTAAAAAAAATAAAAACCAACGGAAGGTTGTGATGGGTCTGAACTGACTTGCTGGCACTGGGTATGGTTTCTTTTGGTTTTAATATATTGGAAAGTGACAGAGATTCATACTAACATCAGATTTCAACATTCTTAAACATTCAAATGAGGAAAAATAAGTTACCATAACTAAAGGCTGAGAAGTGTAAAATACAATGTACATGAATTCTTTTTCAAAGTTGTTGCATATTTAACATAAAAAGTAGATTATGTGTTAATAAATTCCTCTTCTACTTTAGTTTCCATTTTCCAAGTACATAGCTTCCTCACCACTTTTTAAAAATTTTATACTGATTTGTTTATAAATTTTGAATACATTGTTTTTCATACAAGAACTTTCTCACAAACTAATTATTTAAAAAAATTAAACATATTCAAGTTGTAGTCTTTTAATAATATATATAATTATAGGAAATAGCTAACTTTAAAAAAAAAACAACAAAACACTACCTCAGTGCCAGGAAAATATTTTTCATAATGTTTAGCTACACCAGGAAAACAATGTGTTAGAATGAAAATGTTAAAATCAACTACTGTCACACAAATTACTTCTGAATAAAAAAAAGTCAAAGTTTACAAATAAAAAATTAATAAGCTACACCTCAACTATGACAGAGATATTAATGAAGTGCTCCCCAAATTTCAGTCACAATATAACATGAACAGTCTATCAATATGTCTTTTAAAATGAGTATTTTCGATTTGGAATAAAACATGCTAGTAGGGATAAATTGAAGTTTCCACAAAGATCCAAGCTAAATATGGGCCTGAATAGCTTGTTTGCCTGATGTCACACTAAAAATAAAAATTTGCTATAAGCATACCTTGGCAAAAAATACGGTGAGGTGAGTTTCACTGCCAACAATCCAAATAGGGTATTTTGGAGATTTCAAGTAGGAACCAACCTAGAACAAATGTAGCAAAATAAAATGAGACAAATTTATACTTCCTGTTAAGTATTTGACTCCTACAAATATTTGAAACATAACTAAGAGTCCAATTCATATTTTAATGGACTATATTATATTGAGGACAAGAATGTTGACTTGTATATTTTACTTTTTCCTTTCTCTTACAAAGTGTCACAGAAGTAAAAGACTGGGTTTAAAAATCATTTTACAAAAAAGTATCAGTGCTCACTGCCATTGAGTCAAAACAGTTTCACAGATGAGCCTACAGCAGGTGGAGATTGTTAATCTTTCTTCTAGAGTTGCTGATATATTCTAATCACCAGAAAGGCACCACTTTTGGGTTAGCTACATGACTCCCTATGGAATTATAGAGCTGAACACAGTAAGTCCTTCAATTTATACAAGAAGAAACTAAGACATAGACAGGTTCAAGGTCATTTCTAAATTCAAGCAGCTAATTTAGTTGTTATGAAGCATAGTTCAGTTGGCTCCATCATGTATAGCAAAATAAAACACTACCCAGTCCAGTTCAAACTGGAACTCAGATTTTCTCCTAATCAATATACTACCCCCTGTTAATGGTTTTTTGAAAAAAAGCTCATTTCCCTTTTAGGAAAAGTGTATGTTAAAGCATATGTCAGTGTAAACATTTGCACACTTTGATCTCATTAGTCTGCGTATATTCTTAAATTAGGCAGAAGTAAAAAAGAGGATAAATTTATATAAAGTAGGACTAAAGAGTAAATGAATTGGAATTTTGAAGCATTTTTTAAATAATAAAAATAAATTCATTAAAAGCAAGTGAACAAATGGCACAGCAGCTTTGGAAAACCATTTCGAGGTACCTTAAAAAACTAAGGGGAATTATCATATGACCCAGCAATTCACTGTTAGGTAAATATATACTCAAGAGAACTGAAAGCATTTGTTCACAAAAATATTGTAAAAAATGTTTATGCAGTTCACATAGACAATCCAAATGCTGATACATGTTACAAGGATGAACCATAAAAACATTACATTAAGGAGAAACATCAGACAAGGTCACTATGGTAAGAGAAAAATGTCAGATAAAATATTTGGTATAATTCCATTTATATGAAATGCCCCAAATGGGTAAATCCATAGAGATAGCAAGTTGAGTAATGGTTGTCAGGGGAGGAATAAGTATCTACTTATAAGTCAGAAGATGCTAATAGGCTGATGAGCATTAGAAGGATGAGCAATCTCCTCCCATGTGATTACTGCCTCTGAAACCAGTAAGAGTTACTTATGGTTTGGTTATGACTTGATGGTACACAACAACAACAGTATCTTTGGGCCTGTAGCTAAGTAAGGATATTACCTGGAAAAGAACATCATGCTTGGAAAAATTTAGGGTCAGTGAAGGAAAGTTGCTGATTGCCACTGAGTTGAGCATGACTCATAGCAACCCCATGAGCAAAAGGGCTGAAGCCTTTCTATAACTATCACTATTTATCAAAGTTCACAGTTTCCAGAGGCATGTTGTTTAGGAAGTGGATACCACTCCTGATCATATTCCACTGTTGTTGTTATGTACTGTCAGGTCGCCTGTGACTCATAATGACCCTATGTATAACACCCCTAAACCCTGCTCTATCCTGTGCCAATCTCACTGTCTTCAACACACCTACCCCGCTTACCCCAGTCACTGAATCAATCCACCTCATAGAGGGTCTTCCTCTCATGCACTGTCCCTCCACCCTTCCAAGCATGACATCCTTCTTCAAGGACTGGTCCCTCCTTGCAACATGTCCAAAGTATATCAGAGGAAGCTACAGACACCTTCTTTCCAAGGAGCAGCCTGTTTTAATCCTCTCTAGGATTGAACCTATTCATTTTCTTAGCAGTCCATGGTATATTCAATACTCTTCTCCAACACCACAGCTCAAAGGTATCAATTTTCCTTCTCTTCTCCCTAGTCATTGTTCAGCTCTCTGACACATAGCAAGTGAATGCAAAGACCAAGGCCTAAATCAGGCACACCTTAGTTTCCAGAGTGAAACCACTGTTCTTCAGAACTTTGGAGAGGTCCTTAACAGCAGACTTTCCCATCTCAATGTCTTTTAATTTCCTGGCTCCTGGTGCCAAGAGTGTTGACTGTTGAGACAAACAAACTAAAGCTGTGAACAATCTCAATCTCTTCACCATTCATCCTGATGTTGCCAATTGGCCCAGTGGTAAGAAACTTTGTCATCTTTATATTGAGCCTCAATCCATACTGAACTAGAAAATAAAATAAAAACAACAACCACTCAAAATCAAACCCACCCTAAAGATTAAAGTTAATTACAGTTTGATTACTAAGATAAAATAATGTGGGAAATAATAATTGAGAGAATGGATGAGAATCTTTGCACTATCAATTGGAGAAGTGAAAGGAAAAGTGAGCCATATAGTAGAAAAAGCTGGGATATTCACTAAGATGTAAAAGCTAAAACAAAGGATCATTAGGTAGAGAAGGGCTTGGATTGTTTGAAAAATTGCTAGGAGACCAATGTGGCAGAAGCACAGCAATGAAGAAGGAAATGAAGTTGCAGACTCAAAAAGGATCAAGAGCACCAGGGCCTTGCAGGGCAAGATTTTACCATGAAACCAGGAAAGGCAACATGATCTGATTTATCTTTCCGAAATTTTATTCTGAATGTTGTTTAGAGAATGGACTAGAGAGAAATAGGAAGGAAGAAAAGAAATCATACTGGATGCTTTACTGGACCCACATACAAAAGAGTTGGCAGTGCTTCATAGCAGAGTATTACTACAGGAAACAGACACACTCAAAATTACTTTGGAGGTAAGAATAAAGTATGTGAATGTGAAAAAAAGGCAAGAAGCAAGAACGATTCTTAGGTTTTTGGCATCAGCAGGAAGAAGATGCTTCAGTGTAAATAGAAATCGAGTTTATCCCTTTACAGTTAAGAGCCGAAGTGGCAGGTAAGCATCTAGCTATAAACACTGGGGAGGAAGTAAAATATATCCATTTGGAAATGACAAATTTAAAATTGGAAGACATAATTATGTAAATGGAATTTAAAGCCATCGAAGATGGGAAAACTCAATTCAACTCATCTCGCTGCTGTTAACCTGGAACTGACTCACAGCTGACTCTCCAGAGGGTTTTCAGAAGCTGTAAATTGCACAGGAAGAGAATGCTCATCTTTCTCTCATGGAGTTGTTGGTGCATTCAAATTGTCAAAGAGACACCACTTCTCAGTTAACAGTGCAACTCACTAGGCACTAAGTCACCAGAGCCACCTAGAGAGAGGTGAGCACATAAGCAAGGATAATTTATCTTTGCAATTAATAAAAAGCCCTACATACCAGCCTGCCTTAAAACTTATGTAAGTAGTAATCTAAAAACACCATGTTGTTGTTGTTGTTATGTGCCGTCGAGTCGCCTGCAACTCA